GATAAAATTGTTCTTAGATTACATTTTCAAAAAATTTTGCAGTCAGAGAATCAGCTATAATGTACTAGAAACTCTGTGAACACAGGCTTTTGAAATACCAGCACAGTATGTCAGCATACAAATGTGTTCAGTCTGAATTTACTGTGTTCATGGACTGAGCTGGAACGTTCCCACTCCCCCATGAAGAAAATCCTGGTGTTCTCACTATCAGGTGTGAGGACTGTAAAGAGTGAAGTTAAACAGAGATAGCTGTTCACAGCTTTCTAAGTTAGAGATCAAGGAGTAGCAGTGGTGATGTGTAATATTACCGTATGGAATTAATTTGTATCCATTTTCCACAGTAAACTCTTTTAATGCTTCTTCACACGCAGCTGTATACGTATCCATAGTGTATATCCTGTATGTGTATAATGTAGCCCACAGGATACACATTCCAGAGTTGATTGGACAGACAAATTGGTTTGAAATATATAATTTTCTGAATGCTTGTCTGGGGTTTGTTGGACTTGGAGAAGAGGGGAGCTGCATACCCCTTCCATACTTGAATCTTGTCCACTAATGCTGCTGGTGGAAGGGGGAGGGTGAGTGAGGTGCTCAAGATGCTTTATACTGGAGCTCCTGGGGAACACTGGTGGGGAGGAAGAGGCAGGAACATGGGGTGAGTGTATGGAAGACAGGGGTAGGTATGGGTGTAGCACTCCAATACGATGGGTTTGTATGTGGATTTAGTCTTCAAATCTGTGGGCAGCCTTTCCTGAATTGCATTGTAGTTGATATCGACTAGTATCTGTGCTGGGTCCAGCTCTGATGTTTCACTAGCTCAGATTGAAGCTAAATTTACCTCTTCTACAGACAACTATGCTAAAAAGGGCAGCAAGCATCTTGGAGAACAGCGGATGAATTTGTATGCTTGTTTTAAAGGAGAGAGTTGGCAGAAAACTGTTGACCAAATTCAACAAGGCAAAATACAATGCACTACACTTGGAGGAGATTCTTCATGACTCCTGAACCAGAGTAATTGTTAAATAGCAGTTCTCTGGGAGAAATCTGGTGTTTAGAGGGAAAGAAGTTGAACATGGATTAACAGAGCCTCAAAAGGGCAAACACCATGCTGAAATTACGATCGAGAGTACAGTTTGCAAGACCTGAAGTAATCCATTTTGCTTTCTTTCTTATGGGTGGGTATGTCCCTAGCTGACATAAGGAACAAGGACCTACTTTCTGGACACTGATCCT